GGTGTCATTCACAATCAGCAGCACCTGTTGCTGATCCAGGTTTTTGAATTTTGAACAAGTGAATGCCTGTAACTAGGGATGCACTGATACCGCTTTTTTTCAGACGTTGCACTACTCAGCGATACCAAGAAACGATACAAGTAATAATAATGCAGTGTTTCTGCTGCAGAAATTACAATGACCATAAAAAAAACTTTTGAGACAACTTTTATTTTCATGAGATTTACCTTGTGTTTGTGATTTAAAAAAAATATAACGTGAGGCTGAGCAAATCTGAAACCTTTGTGATAAACACAGGACGGCCTCCATTCCTACTGAATATAAATTGTTACTGACTGAAGTTATTGTTACTAACTGGAGTTCTGCATCATAACATATTGTAATACAGTGGTTTTAAGCCTTTGTAGAAGTGTGACCCTTGCACTTGCAGATGGTTTTCTCTCAATACAGCTGGAAAGTGCTTTCTTTCGAATAAATGTTAACCATGAGCCACATTTTATTCCTTGATTGGAATTTTGTCACCTGCAACACAACAACACAGAGCTTGATGGAACGGTGTGTCCTTGTCATTTACATAACACAGGCTGATGCCATGCTTTGCAGTTTGGATGCACATACACGTGCATATGCTTGACTATGTTATACTGAGAAATGTTTAAATGAAGTTGGGCAAAATTATAAATCGCTAGCATTTTTCAAAATAAAACGTCGTTTATTAAACAAATGATAAATTAATCAGTAATGAAGTATCATATGCATGTTTGTATATATCAGTGATTTGTTGATATATTGTCTCTTCTGTCACAGCCGAGTTCAACCATCAGCTGGTGCGATCAGCTGCCGTCGTCCTCAGCAGCCCTCTCCACTTCCAGTCTCTCCTCAGCGTCGCTCTCCAGCTCCAGTCTCTCAATGGAGTCCCGAGCACCAATGCCCACGACAACAGTGTCAGATGATGTGGAGTCAGACGAGAGGCCGTACGTCTGTGACCTGTGCAACTGTGCCTACAAGCATGCTAGTTCCCTGCTAAACCACAAGCTCACTCACAAGACTGGAGACTTCAGGTACGGATTGAAGGCTTATTATATAAATGAATAGAAGTCTTCTGCCTTCCAGGAATTTCACTCATAGCTCACTCAGTGTATCTGCGTGTGAAGATGCAGCATCAGTTAAAGGCCACGAGTGTTTTAAGCACCTTTCCACCACTCATCCCCACACCTTTTTTGTCTCCTAAACTCAGGTGTGATTTCTGCAGCAAGCCCTACACCAACTACATGTCTTTGCGAAACCATATGCGAATCCATGGTCAGAAGCGCTACATGTGTGACCTGTGTGGGAAAGCCTTCCGCTTAGCCCGGTACCTGCGGAACCACCAGAGGATCCACGATGATGGGCCCAACCGCTTTGACTGTCCCTCCTGCTGCAAGAGCTACAGGACCATGCTGGAACTGGCCCAGCACCGGTGCAGTGCTGCTGCATCCAACCAGGTGGGTCTGTGTGTGGAGCTGCAGTGACAGTTGTGCTGTTCACTGGGTTTGTAGGCAACAACACAGCTGTAGCATGTGTAGTGAACTGTGTATTTCCGTATGCAGAGTTGCACTTCTAATTTAAGTGAACACAAGGGACTCTAAAGGATTTATACATAGCAGTCAGGACAGCCTCTCTCAGATATACATGTACATTTGTAGATATAATTTGTTTACAGTATTGCGCTGCGTTCAGAATGAGTCCACTTAAAACGCAACTCCCGGCTGTGTTTTTATGCAAGGGGCTGCATTGGTCAGGGGGTGAGGGGTTGCAGGAAGAGTGTTGTGTGTACGATATGGCCACGTTGTGACAAGTTGATGCAAGTAGCTTCATTTATGTTTCAGACTTTCTGTTGTATTCCGGTTAGCCATGCTGCTGACATAGCCTTCTCTACCTTAGCACCAATTTCTACCACAAGTGTGTCTGGATTGTTTAAAAAAACAAATACAAAGTTTAACATCTGGTGCTCAGACTAACAAAAACACATGGCATGTCGTTATGGTTCGTTAACTGTGGCCAAGGTATGAAAGTGAATTGTAGTGAATGCTCATGCTAACAAGGTAAGGAAAAGATTCTTCTTCCTGTGGGCGTCCATGTCCCGATCATCTCCTCTGTGTGATTGGCCAATGCAGCACCTTTGCCGGATGATGGCACCGTCCGGTGCAGTAAAAGTCGAACCAGATCCAATCTTTTCAACGCACGTGGTTACGTCGTTTTGCCGAAGCCCCCTGTGATGGTGCCGGCTGCGGTAAACGCAATGCCCCATAGAAATGAATGGAGAGGGCTTTGTTTTTTCACATCGTCTGAATGTGGGCTTACACAATGTACAGTTCTCCCCACCCCCAACATTTCATAGTTCAAAGAACGTTTGACAAAGTACCCTATTTTTTATGTGTCCACACTGCAGGAACTGAAAATAATCATAATTCCTAGAACGCCGTTTTGAGGGACTTTTTTAGCTCCTACTTTGAGGTGGGTAGTCTCTGAGCACAATAAGAACCACGAGTAACATACAGTGAGGAACAGAAGTATTTGAACACCCTGTGATTTTTCAAGTTCTCCCGCTTAGAAATCATGGAGGGGTCTGAAATTCACATTGTAGGTGCATTCCCACTCTGAGAGACAGAATAAAAAAAAAAATTCAGGAAATCACATTGTATGATTTTTAAAGAATTTATTTGTCTTGCACTGCTGAACATAAGTATTTGAACACCTGAGAAAATCAGTGTTAATAATTGTCACAGAAACCTTTGTTTGC